GTTAATTTCCTTGAAGTAAAAAGGAACTTGTTTTTAGTTATTTGTTTCAACTAATACTTTCTGTGGAGTTTGTTTATTCAAGAGGGACATTTTTGAGATACACTTTAAAAACAACACTTTCCTGGAAAAAGAAAGAAAACAAAACGAGGCTGCTCCTGTTTCACTTTGTCACCGTGTGACATCACGACAACAACTCTGTCAATATTTGTCAAAGGCCAAAACGAACAAGGAAGCATTTAAAACAGACGGAACATGTGCTCTCTCGACTTTTTCCTTATTATCTAATCACGCTTTTCCTGTCTTGTTGTTGCCACAGTTACTAAATGTTTGTAACTATTAAAGAACCAGGTCCAAAGGGTCAACTTTAATTACTCAGTAACAGGTCTCTGAATCCTTGACAGCTCAGACAGCTGCTTACTGTGAAACCTTCATTTTCTCTCTCTTGGCCTGGTTAATACAGACTAAATGTTATGTAATGAGATTAATCTGATGCCTGCTGGACCTGAACACACGCAGATATCTACTCTGTTTGAAAAGAAGCAAAGTTGGCTCAAATATTCGTTTTTAAGCTTTAGTCAGGAGAGACTACGGGAGCTTTAAATACAGACAAAATGACAGTAGTGACTCAGAAACAAGAAACAGTGACTGACATAAACCAACCGTTTTAGCTCCAGTGTTAGCTAGAAAAGTTGAAAATCCACTAAAATATAGTTGATTTAAGTGAATCAAAACTTGTGCAAAGCTGTAAATACGACAGAGAGCAACCTAAGAGAAACACACACATCCCTGTGGGGCTATTTTCCCTCATTATGTTCCTGTTTGTTATTTTAATGAGACTGCACGAAACGTTTCTCAATAGTTTGAYCAAAACAGCTCCAATTCCATCATTTCTCTACATCACATGATTTTAGCTCACAATGCTGGCATGAGAGTTAGCAGGTGACATGAATTGATTTAAGGAATTCTAGACCTTTAACGTGATATGCACTCTATCACCTCATTTATGTAGTGCATAAACATACAAATACTGAACACGAGTACTCAGTGCTTTCATTCTACAAAATACAGTTACTCTGATGACAACGTTATGGTCAGAATGGTTTATTTCATAGTCAGTTTGATGTATTTTATAGTCAATAAGTTTCATCATCTTGTAAGTACGGTTCATCTTATGGTCAACGGATCATTTTACAGTCAGTACAATTCATTATAGCCTGTACAATTCATTTTATAGCCTGTGCAATTCATTTTATAGCCTGTACAATTCATTTTATAGCCTGTACAATTCATTTTATAGCCTGTGCGATTCATTTTATAGCCTGTACAATTCATTTTATAGCATGTGCGATTCATTTTATAGTCTGTACGATTCATTTTATAGCCTGTGCGATTCATTTTATAGTCTGTACGATTCATCATCTTGTCAGTACGGTTCATCTTATGATCAATGGGAACAGATCATTTTTACACTCAGTTCAAYTCATTTTATAACCTATACGATTCTTTTACAGTCTGTTTGATTCATTTTACAGCCTGTACGATTCATTTTATAGTCAGTACAGTTCATGTTATGGTCAGTACGATTCATTTTATAGTCAGTACGATTCATCATCTTGTCAGTATGGTTCATCTTCTGGTCAGTACAGTTCATTTTACAGTCTGTTCTATTCATTTTATAGTCAGTACAATTCATCTAATGGTCAGTACGATTCATTTTATAGTCAGTACAGTTCATCTGATGGTCAGTAGAATTCATTTTATAGCCTGTACAATTCATTTTCTGGTCAGTACGGTTCATCATCTTGTCAGTATGGTTCATATTCTGGTCAGTACAGTTCATTTTATAGTCAGTACGGTTCATCTTATGGTCAGTACGATTCATTTTATAGTCTGTTCAATTCATTTTATAGTCAGTTCAATTCATTTTATAGCCAGTACAGTTACTCTTCTGGTCAGTATGGATCCTTTTATGGTTGATACGATTCATTTATGGTCAGTACGATTCATTTTATAGTCAATATGGTTCATCTTATGGTCAGTTTGATTCAGTTTTTAAAGCGGTGCCAAACAGGCCTATCCAGACAGGATATGGAAATCCACTGTATCAATCTCTGGTTTGTCTGTATATCAGTGGTAACCACAGGAACACAGCCTGTAACAGAGCTTCATTTTCAGAATAAAATTATAATGCTAAACCACAGTAATCTATTCTTTACCATCAGGGGTAGACAWAACCATTGTTTAGGTTGTCTGAGACAACCAGATCCTGTCACCTGGTTGTCCAGTTGACAACTAAGAAAAAAAGACCTTGATTAAAGTTCTCTGCCGGTGGTGTCCATCACTTGTAAAAATGAAAGGGAGAAAAAACTTGGTAAAGCCGAACCGAATACTAAACTGTAACTTTTAATGAGGTCATGTACACAGTATACTCCTATTTAAGTGAAAATATTTGACCTATGAGCAGAAGCTTAAGAAAGTTAAACTCTGTTTCAATTAAGAGAACTAGGAAGTTTTATTCACACAGATCCTGTCAACCTGGCTGACTGAGAATAATTATATATAATAAATTTTGTCTACAAAACAATATACTTGTTAAATTACATTTTTCTGGAGATTATTTTGGACAACCAAAATGTTTTGCGGACAACCAGGTTTGTCAACAGGTTGTCAGCTGGACAACATGAAAAATTTCCTATGTATTTGCATTTTTCTATCTTACTGATTATTCAAACTTACTGATTCTTTAAAACACAACTGATGCCAATAGGTTATATTTGTCATTATTTTATATATAATAACTCAGAAGCTGTTACCTAATTTCAGTACAGCAATTGTTTATTTTCTTTACTCTGTTTATGCATGTCACACCAGGTTTTTACTGGACTTAATTTTTACTTTATTTACTGGACTTGATAACCTTATTTCCAATAGACTCTTGGGGTGATAACTACTAATGATTACAATAATTTATACTTTTCAAAATAAAAAAATCTATGAATAGATACAAACATGGGTAAATGAAGACCTGTTGTTAAAAGTTGTTTTGTTTAACAATGAATATTTCATTTTTGTTAAATCTCACACATGAAAAGCTTGAATTTAGAGAAGGTTCCGTATTTAATGTAATGGTTGCAAAAACTATTATAAGCCCACTTTTGTTTTTATTTTGAAAGTTCGTTAACGGAAGTAGACAATCTTCCTACAGGCTAGCATGGCGCTACTCTCCTAAAAGTAACAAGAGAAGGGAACACAAAAACAAAATTCTCTCTCGTTACGTGTGTTGCTCAAGAGTCAAAGGTCCCGCCTTGTTTTGAGGAACAGCAGCTAATAAAGTCAACGGAAGTGAACAGCGCAGAACGCCGCATTAACAGCGCGAGACAATGTGATATTACACGGCTACACCCCTCTCGCCCTCCAGCCAAAACTGCCTTTTTTTGTTTGACAGATTTCCAACGCTAACTACAGCTGTCTGTATCACTGCAGAAACAACTGCAGAGGGGGACGTTAGGGGGTCACCATCACACACATTTCAACCCTTGGTGGGGTTACAAAACCTGTCAGYGGCTGTAATTTCGTAAGGTTAGCCGCGAGCTACTGTTGTTCGACAGTATTAGCTAAAAAAATATATACTTACAGTGAGGAGATGTTTGGTGTTTTTAAACGTCTTGTCCGCTTCTGTCCCGAGTTGTGGCGCGGCCGAGACTCCCAGTTAGGCGTCYGAGTTCACGCCAGGGGTGCTTGTTGGCAACAAAGTCGGCTAAAAATGTGTGCGATACAATTTAAAATGTGAGGAATCTGTTAAGAAGGGAGTGTAGAATTCCATCTGTTCGCTCTCCAACAGTGTGGCAAGTTAGCTTGGATAGAGTCYAACAAGACTTCCGGTGGGGGATCTTCACATTAAGACTCAAGAAATGCCTTTTAGTAGGCGCGAGGACAAACAAGGATGTTGTTTAGAAAGGAATGYATGCTACAAATTAAAATCAGATTAAAGTTATTATTTGGTGTGAAATTTACACCGCTCTTGCGTTCTTAGGTTATCATCTGTACACTTTTATTTTACARCACAAAATGCGCAATTTCCTGTTTTGGTTAAGCTAAATTCTGCTAGCTTGATAAATCTGTATCTTTCCAGTAGTGGCTGAATCTCGTTCACATTCTCTCACTTACAGCCCTCCTCGCTGCCTTTACCGGCGCATTACCGGTGTTTTTGCATATAAAAAGGCACAAATGTATTGAAGTTCACTGGTATTGCACCTAGACCTACTCTTTCCATACGTGTTTTATGTTACGTTGGAAAATAGGGGAAGAAATGAGGAGGAAAATGTTGTGAAGGTCGGACAGAAAACTTATTGGAATGCAGCCCAGGCCAACGCACGATCATTCTGGTCACCGTGGTTACTACACTCCCTGTGTCTTTCACTCCCTGGGTGCCAAATTAATGAGGCATACTAAAAAAAAGCAAGATGCTTCCTGTTTTAAAAATATTTTGACCTATGTAATATTTAAATTCAAGGATGCCTGGATGTGAACTCACTGCACTTTAAGGGGATTAGAGAAAACTGTAAATCCAGTGACTCAAATTGTTGGTGCAAAGAAGGATTTTACATAAAATCAAGAATATTGTGGACAACCCTGACCATCCTCTTCATCAGACTGAAAGACAAAGTGTCTTCAGTCGGAGGCTTCTTCAACTTCGCTGTAATACAGACCGCTACAGAAGATGTTTCCTGCCCACAGCCATCAACATCTACAATAACTCTTTAGTTAAATGAGTTACAACAACACCTAATTTCCCTCTGGGATCAATAAAGTATTTTTGAATTGAATTGATGCATAATTTGTACCTGTACTAAAAAAAGAGTAGTGGGAGAAGGAAGAGTTTGATCTGTAAATTTGTAAACCTCCAACAACTTGAACAGAGATTGTGTAAAAACCATGTAAAATATACCCCCCCACCCCAAAAAAATAAACAATAATAATAAATCAATAAAAAGTTGCAATCCCATAGAGGAAACCATCTTTATTAAAGTTGCTTTCATTTTTACATACAAGTCAGAATACATATTTACAAATGTACATGTATGTCTAATATTAACATTTCACCATCATACTCAGTAGATATACGATAAGAAAATAAAGACAGTGGTCGCTGCAATGTGCTGCATAAAAAGAAACTTTAAAAAAATAGAACCCTTTCACAATCTCTCCAGTCTTGGTGTCAAAAAAAAAAGTACAAAGAACTCAGATTTTGTGTCACCACGATCGAAAACGTTGACAAGTTTAGTGCCCGTGTCAGCCTTTTTTCAAGGGCAAAAAATAAATTCTCGTCCCATAATAACACAGAGTTAAAAATATATATATTTGACTCATTCGGGAGGTTTAAACATGACAACCACGACACCCTTGAGGAAAATGGCATGAGGTAAAGAGGTGACATTTATCCGCACAGTTTGACGCAGAACGGCCTGCGATCTCTGGTTTCCGGCTCGCCTCACTTCCACGGGCAGGTAGCCGAACAAGGTTCGATTTAAACCGGCTCAGGTTGAGTTGCTGAGCACGTTCCAAGTCATAAAGTGGGTGGGGTTGGTATTAGCTCAGCAGCACTTTCCTGCTAATAAAAAAGGGAGGAAATAGTGATTTGCAGCGCCTTGTGCATACAGTAGAAAATCCCAGGATATAAAAAAGTGTCATTCAGTGTTCGTACAGCACAGGTTCCTTTCTGAGTCTCTCTCTCTCTCACACAAACACACACACACACACACACACACACACACACACACAGATACTCGATTGTGATCGGCTACAAGTGTGGCTCTCGGGGCTTTAGGTGCAAACACGTTGCGCAGGGTTGCAATAAAGGTGGCTGCTGTCACATGCCTGAAAGGGGCTGGGAGCCGAGGACGAGGACAAAGCTTTCCTTTGTGCAAATATAGGTGAGAACAATGACACCAAAACAAACAAACCAAAGGACTAATTTGGGGAGGGTCGAGTTGGAAGAGTTACTGTTGCACAAAAGCTGCCTTTATACGATGATGAAAACGATTTGTGTAATGAGTTTGTTCTGAACCACACACACACACACACACACACACACACACACACACACACACACACTGGCAGGAATGTGGACACAAAGCGTTGACATGTACAGGTATGCAGTCACACCTGCCTGACTATTCAACTTCTGGGGTTTCCTGAGAGGCTACTGCAGTTCAGAAGTAAAAAAAGAAAAAGAAAAAAAAATTAAATAGATGTCCAAGCTGCCCGTTTTTTGTTTAAACTGAAACATGTAACCTCCATAACCTTATAGTTTATCAGATTTTTTTTAAACATAAATAAATAGAATTGTTGTGTCGCAGCTGGTCTGCCACATGCTGCTCCATACGTGTCCCCAGAAACAACAACAACAAAAAAAAAACAGGTTACAACTGGCTCATTGTTCTAGCTGCAGCCGTTTCTCACAGTGCATGATCGACGTCTGACACTAAACCATTTTATTGTGTGGAATACCTGTTTGATGGGATCTGTGCAAGCTCCAAAGGAGACTCTATCGCTGTGCTACCATGGCCTCGACTCAAAGCGGACCGAGCGGACACCGGCGGTGTTGAATCTAGTGCAGATAGTTGTCGAACTGCATGTTTTAGATGCTACATATTCACAATATGGCACCRAACCCGTGTTCAGTAAGTTAAGGCCAAATAGGCCTTTTTGGGATTTTTAAAGCAGGTTTGACAGGAGGTTGAGGCATCACGTCTTGACTTGCCCCCCGCCAGGAAATGGTTACGGAACAGAGATGGGATGGTGGAATCAGGTCAGGGTTTGATGTCAGAGAAGCTGGTGTAGGTCTCGCTGCAGCTGGAGGATGTGCTGAGGTTCCCGGAGACGCTTCCATCTGCAGGGAGGGGGGAAACACGCAAACAACCACAGTGATGAACAACACACTCAAAGGCGTTGTCCTAAAACTATTTCCTGTTAGTGTAACCAACCTGAGCTGCTGAGCGACTGCGAGGATTTGGACTCTGAGATGAGGCTGAGGAGGTTTGCTGCCGCCACCCAGCCGTCTTTACCGCTGCAGAGGTTCTTCACAAACCTACAAACCACAAGAACCTCACTGAACAACAAGGCATGGCTGAAAACTCTTACATTTAAAAGATACTCCAGTACTGGGAACACCATGATACGAAAAGCATTTTAGGTCCTGCTTGCAAGGGAACAAAGCTGTTTTCCATCTGTATTGTTTTGTGTTATCTCATAGGGGGTTTCATTTCATACAAGAAAGATCTGGGAACCAGGACCAGGGAGTCAGAGCATATATTGTGCTCAAGGTCTAGTCTCAGCTTTTTGCAGGTGATGTGGCTCTTTTGTCATCTTCAAACCTACTGCGTACAATAGCGCCGAGATGAGAGTCCGCTCCTCTGAGTCTGAGGCCATGGATCTTGATAGGAAAAGGGTGGAACACTTCTTTTGGGTTTCTGCCTCAAGTGAAGGAGTTCAAGCATTGGGGAGACTTGTTCCCAAATGATGACAGGACGGAATGGGAGACGGCCCAATAAACCTGTCCACTGTTGTCCACAATAACGAAGGTGTTGCTCCAGTCTGTCGTGGTGAAGGAGGAGCTGAACCAAAAGTTGATTCCAGGACATAAGTGTTACAAATCCTCTCCGGTCTTTGGGTCCAGCAGGAGGAGCAGGGGAGATGTCTGAGCTCTTTCAGATAAGCAGGTCCAGACCTCCATCCATCCATCCATCCATCCATCCATCCATTTTCTGTACACGCTTCTTCCTTTTCAGGGTTGCGTGGGTCACTGGTGCCCATATCCAGCAGTCACAGTGCGAGGGGCGGGGTACACCCTGGACAGGTCGCAAGTCCATCACAGGGCCACACAYAGAGACAAACGAGACAAACAACCATTCACTCTCTCACTCACACCTAGGGACAATTTAGAGTTATCAATTAACCTAACAGTCATGTTTTTGGTCTGTGGGAGGAAGCCGGAGTACTCGGAGAAAACCCACGCATGCACGGAGAGAACATGCAAACTCTACCCAGAAAGGTCCCCGGACCGGGATTTGAACCGTTGACCTTCTTGATAAGAGGCATCAGCTCTACCAACTGAGCTGATCCTGCTGATCTCAGCACCAGTAGGGGTCTCTGCAGTACATGTTGTCCTGTGGGTGGAGAGGACCCTACCCGTGATTGGCGGCGTTGGTGTGTGGGCGGAGTTTACCCTAACCGTTAKTGGTTGGATTGACTTGTCTTGTGGAGCAACTTAAAAGAAGAAGTAATGATACCGTTAATAGTAAAATAATATGATGTATTGACTGTCTGTGTACAGTTTAAAACAGAACAATGACTCAAATAAAAATTATTGTGAACATGTAAAAATAATTTATTGACTTCAAATTTCATGCGGCAAGCTGTCTCAAATTATGACTAATATTCATATTGATATTGATATTTAGTGATCTTTTTACATTCTGGTTACAGCTGTTTTGACCAAATTGTTACATGTCCCTCCATATGTAYGGCATTCACATTTTGTGCAGCTAGCACCTTCCTGTCTCAACTTATGACTTAAATTAATCTTTAAAAACAGGTGATCCTGCACAAGTCGACCGCTGTCCCCAGCTTCTTCAAACCTCAACGACAATCTGACCAGTCATGTCTTGGGCCAACTCCTCCCACAAAATAAAAAAACCCTTCTTTGTGACTGCAGAAACGCCCTTCTCTCTCAGTAAGTTGCATAAAAGGTGGCATAAGATGTCTAAAACGTTATGGCATGACAGGGTCTAAAAGTATTCCAGTGTGCACATCAGCTATTGATGGTATTAACAACCTTGTACAGAACTCTGTCATCTGGTACTTTCTGAATATATTTACCATTGTCCCTCCTCTCCTTCTCTGATCAGCTGGACCACGTCTCCACTCTTGACAGACAGCTCCTGAGGACCCGCCTTCTCGCAGTCTGCCACCACCGTGTACCTTCCCGGAGCCTGGACAGTCAAAAAATAAATAAATAAATAAAAAAAACAGACAGAAACACCAGAGTATTTACAACTGAAACTGTGACCGACTACAAACAGAAGAAGTCCTAAATCTTCACCACCCAGCTCACCAGCTTCCTCACAACTTCGTCCTCGGTGTCAGAGTTCATGGGGTCCTCGCTGCTGGAGTAGCCGTCGTTCTCCTCCGATGCGTCCACCGAGAGAGATGCCTTGTTCCAGCCTGAACAAAAGACCAGTAGAGAAAAATGAGAAAAGCCAAACTACCTAGACAGAAGTGAATATTTGTGAGAATCATTCAGACTGTGACATCAGATTGCGCCATGATTGAACATATTTAACGGTCGCCATGATGAAAGGATCTCACGTAATCAATTCAAGATGGCCGCCCCAGCAAATCACTATTAGAGAGAGTCGCCTTCATCCCATACTCCAAGCGCTAACAGATTTGAGATCTGTGCGTAAAACTCTGGCATTCCTAACTTTTAATCAAATGTTCTATGGGAAATGGAATAAAAAATGTCTAAAATGTTAGTTTTGTCYTTCAAAGAAAACTTGATGTCACAATCATGCTTAAATCCTCCTTTAAGAGTCAATGCTAAAAAAAGCCCAACCACTCAAGAGAAAATCAATGTATAGTAGAGACAGAAAATGAGACTTTTTGATCAAATATGTGATGTTTTTTTTTATTATGGGTACAAGTATACACAGGGTGAGTCAAAAGTATCAGGACATCCTGTTATGTCAGAAACTAAAGGGAAAATAATCTGAATACCCCAGCAAGTAATGGGTGAGGTGGACCATCTTTTAAGGTATACGTCCAGAACATGACTGCCATCTTGAAAGCTTCTTTCTGAAATAAAAGTGTGTCCTGTGACTTTTGACTCACCCTGTATATAAGCTGATGAGGTGAAACACAACAAACAAACACACCCAAAAGAGAAACGAAGAAGACTCATGGCGAAGCAACATGATCATCCAAATTAACCCTTCATAAAAACAGTAGAGCTCCCCCTTTAGGATTTAAGCTGAWATGACTCAAAAGGCTGATATTTTGCTGACTTCACCCAAAGTGAAAATCACTCGTGAGCAGCAGGACAGAAGAAACCACGCAGAGCCTGGAAGCAGCTCTGTTACCTTGCCGCCTGCTTTTTAACAGATTAGAGGTACTCGTCCACCTGACTCTGCTCAGAGTGACGTTTGCAGGCCGCTCTAAAGGAGAGAAAACTGTCAGCCAATCAGTGACCGTGAGCCGGACGTGAAAACAAACTCTCATGGATGGTCAGTCAGTAAAGTCAGGCTTTAGACGGGAAGGATCAGGGGGGATTTTGTGCCGTTTCTTTTTACGTGAAATGACTTAGAGACTTAACTAAGACAGATGTTTCTTTGGACACCTGTWGAATGAAAAACAAGAAACGAGTGACAAATGTAAGATGAGATGATGAGAAAGAGATTATATGGCTGGATTGACAACCTGATATCTACAACCTCCATTTTGAAAGAGTCAGGACGTTGTATAAAAACGATTTGCAAATTTCATWATCCTGTATTTCTCTTCCACTCTGATGCCACGCTGTTGTAATTGATCCAGTTTTTGGTTTAGCATCATGACTGAAATATGGAAGGCTTTCTCTGAAAAAAATTTAAAAAACGGACGGGAGTATGTTATAAAGCCTGTGTAAAGCTGATGTGTAAGATGGACATCAAGAGGCACTAATGCACCCCCATACCAACAGCGATGCTTGTTTCTGACCTGTGCGCTGATTGGCTGTTGGATCTTTCTTTGTTTAGTACATAGGAC